ATCTACGGGTGCCTCTATAGGTCCCATAGCCGTAACGCAGAAACAGACCGACCCTTCGACCACGTCCAAATGGCTACAGATTCGTTGCTACAACAGATCCCCTCCGCAGAGATCGTGATCCTCAGCGACTTTACTAAATAAGTATATTACTAAAATGTATACAGGTAAGGCACGTCGCACATATTTTTTTTTGTTAATAAATTATACGTCAAAAAAATTGTTAGCTCTTTTAATCTTAAAATAATTTTAGTTTATTTCATTGTTAGTTACGAACACAAACATTGATTGTTGCTAGCCGAAAGCCAAACAACGTTGCCAACATTAGGCCATATTCTTATATTTAGTAAACAAGCTGTACAAAACTCGAGATTCACAATATCTTCAGGCCTAGCCTTGGGCTTGGCGAGTCCAACGTCCTGCATCAGTTCGAAAGCGAAGGAGACGTTGTGGATCTTTTGGTCGAAGTCCTGCGGCGTCAAGTGGAAGTCGTAGAGCGGCACCAAGAAGCACTACAGCAAGTCCATGAGCAGGCACAAGTACACGCCGTCGTGGAACTGGGTGTCCAGATCCATTACCTCCAGGTTGACTTTGCTCAAATGCTTGTTGACGAATGTTATTAGTGACTTCTTAACAACTTGCAACTTGTCGGGCGCGTGGTCGAAGAGGGCATCGAACGCGTCACGCTCGCACTTCATGCCGAGGTCGTCGTACGTCGTCGTGATGTCTTCTATGTAGGTTCTATGGGAAAGTTGGTTAGGCGCATCCTTTTTTACGACGACCACGTTTACGCTCACGTTCTCAGGCAAACGCACGGGCGCACGTAAGAGACGCGCCAACGCGACCAGAAGATGAAGTATTGACACAACGTTCTTTGAATGGATCGAGTCCACGCTCCATTTCTGAGCCGACTTAGATGTACCAAACAGCAACCTGTTAACTGCTCTCAAAACAATAGCCAACTTCTGCCGCTGACCTTCCTCTGACTGTGTCACTTCTGGCACACACTTGTTTCTGTCAGCTTTTCAAGAAGCTTCTGTAAAACCTGTCCATCATAAAGATCCTCACTGATGTCCTTAACAATAATTCTCTGCATAGCAAGTTCATCATTAATCCAATCTATCAGGACTTGTATCAGTTCCTTTACCCGTGGGTCCTCTAAGGATCTAGGTTCGATTATCACCCTTTCTTTATTGTCATGAAGACTGTATTATTCAGGCAGAATTTCTGGAGCTGTTGGACTTCTAGGTGAATCAATTGCATATTTTCCTTCTGCTTGAACATCTTGAACTTCCTTTATAATTTTCTTGCGGCCAATAGTTCCAATTTTATCCCAAAAAGATTCTTCTTTATCCTCCTTTTTAGGTAATACAGGTGTTCTAGGGGATTTTGGGCGTGGTGAAGATATTTTCTAAGATTCTACTTGGAACAACTTAAAATAAGTTAAATGAGTCATGAAAGTAATAGTTCTCAAACCTCAAACTGTTATACACAATATACGCATATTAATAAAATAATAAATAGAATCCAACTGCAAATTCACTTTTAAACTATTCGTATTTTGAAAATTACAATATTTACCTTTACCTTTAACCCAATTACTACAAGGAAAACGTTCTATATGACTTTAACGCCCATCACGCCGAATGGCTTGGTTTAGGTTTAACCGATTATGCGGGGAGATCTATTCATGATTTTGCCTTGGTATACGGTCTCACACAACTAGTTACTGTACCTACGCGGATTCCAGAAGTGGAGGATCATACACCTTCCCTGTTGGACTTTCTGCTGACCTCTCACCCGGACGGATATCAGATTTCCGTCGACGCCCCTTTAGGCTCCTCGGACCATTGTCTTGTCCGGAGTGTGGTGCCACTCACGCTGAAATCGCAGTTACATTCTGCAGGCTGCCGCCCTGTTTGGCACTATAGGTCAGTCAATTGGGATGGGATACGGTCTTTCTTTGAATCCTACCCTTGAGGGCGGGTTTGCTTCTCACCGGACGATCCCAACGTTGTTGCGGATTCTGTCGCTGATGTCGTACTTCAGGGTATGGAACTTTTTATTCCTTCCTCCGTGGTGCCCATTGGAGGCAAATGTCTGCCATGGTTTGGTCGCTCCTGTAATATAGCATCATGCTATAAGCAGTAGTGCTACCAAGCCTGGGCTGACGCATCAATGTCCCGGGATGTAAGCACCAGCGCTCTAAAAAAGAAGTATAATTACGCCTCTAGGTCCTTCAAAAGAGTCATCGCCAAGGAAAAGTTAGAGCACATAGGCAGAATTGGCGAGAAACTAATTCGCCTTCCTTCTGGAACCCGTGCATTATAGTCTCTCACCAAGGCTGTCCAGGGGGAAATTCTGTCAGCCATATCTTCCATCTCTGCACAGGGAGGACGACTCACTGGCCCATACCGCAAAGGAGAAAGCCGATCTTATAGGCTCTTTCTTTGCGTCCAACTCGACTCTCGATGACGGGGGGAGTACGCCGCCGACCATCTCGAGGTGTGAGTGCTCCATGCCGGAAGTGCAGTTCACACAGCGCTCGGTTCGCACTCCTCTCCCTGGACATCCACAAGTCGAGTGGGCCTGACGGAATCCCCCAATTGTGCTGAGAACGTGTGCTCCAGAGTTGGCACCGGTTTTAACCTGTAGAGTCGATTAGCATACACATGTGTACCAAACATAAACACCTTACGCTCGCTCGATCAAGATACACATGTGTACCACAAGTACTACCCTTTGAAAAAGAATTTTTTTAATTAAAAAAAAACCAAAAACAATATGTAATATATAATAGAAGCAAAGACAAAGATAGGCTCTATGACTTCATATCTTTGCCTGGCAATGTTACTAAGAAAAAACTAAAAATAAATCACTCTTTTCTTCCGGCGTTCCACGTGTTGCGTTGTTGGATCTTTGTCGTCAATTTTTAATTTATTTCTGGAATTAAAACGTAAGTATTATACTTTTTTGTATTCCTTGTAATGTAACAAACCCGTAGATATATAATTTGTGGCATAAAAGTGAAAAATAAACGCTAAAAATATTTCTAAATCGAAATGATGTAGAAAAGTACAGACAAAGTAGTTAATATAAATGTCTATATTTACGGATAAATCTAAGTGAAAACGGTAAAATTCTAATGAAATTACGAGATAATTTCGTACTCTTCAAGATTTTGTTCATTTTTCCTATCACAATGCTATCATAACCTACAAAATTGTTCATAAACGGCCCAATACCTGTATAATAATTCAAATATTTCGCCATATTTTTACATATTTGCAGTGATTGCAGGAATTTTATCGATCAGGCTATCGATACAGATAGATTTATATGGTGGTAATATCATAGGAAGTATCTATCAGTTTTTTTTTTCATTTTTCAAATCAATCAAATTCAATATGTATATAGCAATTTCTGTTGATATAAAATAATATGATATGACCTATTGTCTATATACTATCCCTACAGAATGTATATTATCCATATCATATCATATATATTACAATATAATGATATTATATATGATAGGGAAAATCATTACATAGTAGAGTAAATCTGTTGGTATGTTACAATTATTATTTTCGTTTTCAGCATGTGGAACCCAGGAAATAAGCCAGTTCCCCAGGAGTTCATCGATGTCCTTCTCGACGAAGAAGAAGAACTGGATATCGATGAAGACCATGGGGAACTGGAAGAAGAATACGATGCAGAGGAGATACTTGTAAGTAATATTATGTATAACATCAGTCATATAGATAAATAGAAACATTCGGATAAAAACATATTCATTTTTCAACAGAACATGCCGGTGTGCATTGCGGAACCCGATGGGTCTCTCTTTTACATACCGGAAGAAGTGCATGTACTTGTAAGTAATATTTATATATAACATCAGTCATGTAACGTTTCTATTTTAATTTTTCTTAATTTTTATTTTATTATGATTGAGCGTTGAAAAATTCAAACAACTTCAAATTTTCACACTCAGTGTTATCTATTTCCTATTGAACTAATAAAACATTTATTAGGAATAATGTGTATGGCAAAACAATGTTTCAGCTAGTATTTATTTGTGTTTATATATATATAAATGTTTTCAGCACAATAAAACTGTGTTCATTTTTCAACAGAATATTCCTGTGGGTACGGAGAAAGCCAGTGGGTCTCCGCAATGCCCAACAGGAGAGGTGTCTGAAGA